CCACCACCGCCACCAACCACCGCCACCGCCGCCACCGCCACCGCCACCACGGCCACCGCCACCACGGCCACCGCCGCCACGGCCACCGCCACCACGGCCACCGCCACCGCCACCGCCACCACCGCCACCGCCGCCACCACCGCCACCACCGCCACCGCCACCACCGCCACCGCCACCGCCACCGCCACCGCCACCGCCACCACGGCCACCACGGCCACCGCCACCGCCACCGCCACCGCCACCACGGCCACCGCCACCGCCACCGCCACCGCCACGGCCACGGCCACGGCCACCGCCACCGCCACCGCCACCGCCACCGCCACCGCCACGGCCACCGCCACCGCCATGGCCGCCGCCACCGCCGCCACCGCGGCCGCGGCCACGGCCACCGCCACCGCCACCGCCACCGCCGCCGCCGCCGCCGCCACGGCCACGGCCACCGCCACCGCCGCCACCACCGCCACCGACACCACCACCGCCGCCACCACGGCCACCGCCACCGCCACCGCCACCGCCACCGCCACCGCCACCACCGCCACCGCCGCCACCGCCACCGCCGCCACGGCCACCGCCACCGCCACCGCCACCGCCACCGCCACCGCCACCGCCACCGCTCCCAACTCCGTGAGCCGCGCAAGGGACAGGGTGGCAGGGGCGGAGCCGTCCGTGGACGGGGAAATGAGCTGCTGCCTCACCCCCCCCCCAAATCTCCCCCAGCCACCTCTCCTCCAACCCCCATCACCCCTGCCCCCCCCCCTCACGTCCCCTTTCCACCCAGTTTGTTGCAGCTGCATCGAAGCCCCTTGTGTCGTCTGACCACCACCGTTAATTCCGCCGCTGTGCGATAACCACTTGGGGTTTGCTCCTTCGGCTGCAACTTTGTCAGAGCCTCCGACGCGACTTTGCAGTGTCGAGTCGGGAGGATTTGCGACGAGTGGCGGCGGCGGCGGCGGCGGCGGCGGTGGTGGCTGTGACGGCGTTTATTTGTGAGCCGTCATTAGCCGGTGGGCACGTGAACAAAAGCAATTCCGCGGCGTAACGTGCGGTGCCTACTCGTCTGGAGTGGCATCTGCAGATTAATGAAATGGCAGAAAGGTTAACATATGCCCGTTTGAAACAAAAGGTCAAGGGAAGGGAGGAGGAGGAGGTTGGTGAGTTAATGGTTAAGCTGCATGGCAATGCCTTCTGGCTGGCTTGCGGACAATGCCTGGAGTCAATACCACTGGTCGAGGGTGGCCAGGGCAGTGGGTTTTGGGGCGTATCATTTCTGACCCCTTTCTGCCTCTCTCTCTCTCCCCCCTTTTGCTGCCATCTGCCCCGTTTCGCAATACCCAGAGCACTATTGATCACTGTCTAAATCAGATTACTGCGCCGGCGAGCGCATGGCGGGCCAACAGCGAGCGAGGGGGGGGTGCGGCGTGCGCTGGAGACGCGCGATGTCGTTCCCAATTCTCGCCAGCGCCCCCAACACCATTTTTTGCCGCTCACTTCAATGCGAGTCGCCTTTAGTTTTGTTTTTTTCCCGTTCCGCACCCACCCCTCCCCCTGTTTTTTTCTCTTCTTCCCTGCCCCCACCCCCACTCCTCTGCTCCCCGTTCTTTATTTGGTACAGCATTTTTGTATTTTTACCCCAGGACAGGGCCTTGATCTCTGCTTGCTTGTTGCATGAATATTACATTGGGCACTTTGAACATGCTTTGACTGCGCTCATTGATGTGAAGGTCAGGAGTGCAAGGGCACTCTATCTGATACACTGCATTAATTATAAGCCCCGTCCATCCTTCCCCCATTCAGACGCGCCAAAGTTATTTAAAAGTTAAGATTCGAGGATGGTAGTAGTAGTGGTAGTCGTAGTAAAAAAAAAAGGCACTAACCCATGAGCTGCCTGACGGCGTCTCCGCCACGTGGGGTCGAGTTGTCCGGTGTCCCTCGGCAAACCTGCGGCCAACCTGCGCGCTACTTGTAGAGATTTGCTCCCCCCCCTCCCCCCGTTATAGATGGTGCACCGCGACCCCTTGTTTGCGGCGCTGCCGTCGTCAAAAACCCCGCAAATCAAATTGCAACCGTCTGGGTTTGGCCATTGCGCTGCCCCCCCTCCTCCCCCCTCCTCCCTCCCTCCACCAAAGTGCCATACCCGTGCATTCCGCGATATTGAGTATCGGCGGGCGGGGCGTTCGTGCGGATCGCGTGTTATTGCCACTCTGAACACGTGTTGTCGAACGGCGTTGGCAGAGCGCGGGGAGGAGAGCAAACGCGTGAACAGGGGGGGGGGGGGGCACGGGGCGTTGCTCAACCGCCTCTGGGGTGGGGGGGGGCAAAGGGCGCCGTCGGAATTCGCGGAGTCTGTGACGACGTCGAGGAAGAGTCTCGCGACCCCGCAAGAAGGGGGGGGGGGGGAGGAGTCCTGCCCTTGGGGTGTTTGGCCGATTTCCGTTTTGGTTGTGGAAACCTGGCGGGGCGGGGGGGTGCAGGGATATATATTTTATTGGAAATTACGATGGGGCAGGAATGTGCAGATGGGTTCGCAAACCCGCTCTCTGCACCGCCATCTCGTGGCCGTTCTGGGTTTCGTTGTTTAAACCAAGCGGCCGTGTGCCGCTGCCAAGAGCACCCTTGCCATTGAGGCGTGAGCCGCGTGTTACCCAGTCACGACGCGTCGCTGTGCACGTGGATATGCATTGGCTGATGTTGACAGCATTGCAACTGGGTCAACGCTTTTCTGGAAGCTTTGGTTTTGCTGCGTGGCTTGTCGGTTTGCATGCGTGTACCGCCCTTAATCAATCCACTGCTGGATGAAGATATTCCCATCCCATTAAGCTCATCGGGGTTGTTTTACCACACTTCACCCCACACTGGTGAACGTGCGTTGGTTAAGGGACGGTGGCTCGTACCCAGCTGCGATTTCATCCGCCACTGACGCCGCACCTCCGATCAGCACGGTTGGCTACGTACGGTGCGGAAGAAGGTCAACATACATACATACATACATGGTCGTGACTGGGAATTGAACTCTGGCTCGCTGGGTTCGTAGCGGAGTACCCCTGCGTGTCACCCGCTGCGCCCGGTTTGCATGTGCGGTACAGCAAGTAAACCCTCGTGGCTGGTAACAGCTGATGGTTGTTGTTGTTCATCATTCGGGCAACGAATATCGTCTGTCGAAGCCCTCGGTGCGTATGTGTGCGCGCGTCGCCCACACAGACATCGATGCGTTTTGATTCGTGCGTGTTTTCATTTAAACAGATTCACCCTGCAGCCACTGGAGGCCGCTCACATTCGCCACAATCTAAAGTAAAAAAAAATGTTTTCAAGAAAGATCATTGAAACTGGCAACTCTCCCGGAATCGTAAATAAAAAGTATCGAATCACCAGGGTAAGGGGTTGGTGGCGTGGGTAGGGGGGGTGCATCATGATACCTTGAGTGTTCATGGTCTCTCCTCTGTCTGTGAAAGCATTGCTATGAAAACACGGTAAAGGTGCGGCCCTGCAATTGCTTTCTCATTGCTGGCGGAAGGGCCTCCGCTCGAGCGAACTCTGGGGAGGGTTACTTGGCCTACTCTTCCACGTTGGCCAGACGTGAGCGAAAAAGCCACACTTTAGCCCACCGCACGCGGCCAGCCATAGTTGTTTTGCCGTGCCGGGATGGACAGAGGTTGCCGGGAGGGATTTAAGAAACTTTGCCCCACATCGTTTCAACTGCCATGGCCGGAGATGGAATCCAACTGCGGCGACACTTTTTGGCCCAGTTTTGTTGTTGTTGTTGTACTGTACTGCGTGTCGAGATGCGGTCACATTCCGCCGCAACGTAAATCGAAGTTGTATTTATTTATTTCGGCGCTTTATGTGGCCGTGAGTCATAATAAGTTACACATTATCAGCCGGCGGAGACGCGTGGAATGCCTCCGATTTAATTCCATTGTTGCTTTTACTTTTAGCACAGTGGCTTGTGAACACGTTATGAACCCAGCGACCCAAGTTCGATTACCGGCCCAAATTAACAACCAACTGGCACCGACTTGGCTTGTAGAAATATGGCCGAACAAACCCCAATGACTGACATGGCACGGGGAGGGCTGTGTCCGTCCAGCAGTAGATTGACCATGACAGCTATACGTTATGTTTATTCCCTCTTTAATTTAAGACCTATCTCGCCCCTTTATTACGTGAGGATTTAGGATTTCCATGTACAGTGCTCTTGCTTATGTATGTTGAACTTCTTTCTCACCGTACCTAGCCAACCATGCTAATGGAAGGTGTGTGGGGGAAGGACAACAAACTAAACACAAAAAGCAGTTCTAAAAGAAATTATTTTTCAATCGAGATTTAAAAGTGCGTTCCAGACGGCCGCAGAAGCACATCTAAAAGCGCGCGATGCGGTGCCCGTCTTTGTTCGATGGTTATCCAAAAGCCGCTGTCAGGGTGCCCGGAGTTTGCTTAAATGCGTGAGAAACTCAAAGCGCTTTGCGTCGCATCTCATCTCAACCATCGCAATGCCCTGCTGCGGGGGACTTCCAGCGGCAGCTGTCCCTGTGTGGAACAAGGCATTCAAAGTGTCGGCCTTGCAAATTGGCTTTCGTCTGCCAGTCGGGGGTGGGCGTTATTGATATGTATGGGCACCTCGCCTGGTATTACAGGAGGTCGTGGGTTCGATCCTGACCCCGATTCCTGTATATTTGGAGTTTACATGTTCTCCCCTTGGTTACGTGAATTTTTTTTCTCCAGGCCCTCCGGTTTTCCCCTCCACATATAGCATCAACATGCGTTCAGATTATTTGTCTTGCTATAAATTTCCACTCGATAAGCCACTTCATTGGGCTTTTGTTTGTGGCCAGGTAGCTTCAGAAGAAGAGCAAAATAACTCGGTGGACCTTACCTGGTAACGTAAAAATCGTTGATAGTTTTTATACTTTATAATTTCTTTAAAAATATATATATGTACATAATGTTCTTCCCAAGCGAGTAACGTATCGACTGCATCGATCTGCGTGCCGGTGCGTGCCCAGGTGCCGGTGCGCTTCCTGGAGGTGTCCGAGATCACGCTGCGAGAGTTTTTCACGGCCATCACCGCCGGGAAGGACGCCGACCCGTCGTGGAAGAAGGCGATCTACAAGGTGATCTGCAAGATGGACTCGGAGGTCCCTGACGGTTTCCGTCTCTCCGGCTGCTCGCAGGACAGCCTCCTGCAGTGACCTCCGGCGGTGACGCGCCCTCCCCACCAACGCCCCCCCACCCAACACCACCGCCTCCCTCCGCAAGGCTGGGGCAGGAGGGGAAACTCTGTGACGGCTGTGAGTGCAAGCTGCCTGGCTGGCCACGTGCTCTCGAGAGAGGGAGAACAAAACAAGCCCCCCCCCCCCCCCCGCCGGCTTTGTCCAGCCTCGTCACAGAAACCCCGAAACGAACCACGAGAAGTTACTCGGTAAAACACAACAGCGTCGGCGGTGACGGTCGTGTTCAAACGACCACGACGGCGAAAATACATTTTTTGTTCTTCTTGCAGGAATTAAAACTGCGGGACGAGTTTAGAATGGAAACAAACGACAACTATTTAGGGTTCTGCATAGGACGCAAGGGGGGGGGGGGGTGTGCGTCACCCCGCGAAAGATTGGACTCGTGTTTAGCAAAATGGAAGAGAGAGACAGCCGTCTGTGGGTCGAGCCGGTGGCCCCGGTCGGTCACGACGTTGTCGGTACCTTGCCGGCACGTTGGCGGCAACTTGGAGGTACGTTAGCCGGTACATTTTCCGGTACGTTGCCGCACGCTTGCCGGAACGTTGCCACCAACGTTGGCGGTGCGCACACGACCCCAACCCCCTCCCACCCCGAGAGGTAAACGTGGCGGCGGCCTCTTGCGCGCGGTGCCACCGTTGCCAGGCGGGACTTCCGACAAGCGGGAGGCTCCGCTGGAATGCCGTCGGGAGGCGAGGGGCCATCGGTGGCTGTGGCCGTGGCGCGAATGGACTGTTTTTATTTATGTGAAATGACTCAAGTGGGGGTTGGGGGGGGGGGGGGAAAGGCACTGCAAGAGTTTGATTTCTGAAGCTGCAATTGGGGGGATGTGCGGGTTGTTGTTGAAAATATTTTTGTTTCGGGGGGAGGGAGGGGAAAGTGTCCCCCCCCGCCCCCCGCCGTCGTGTGAAGATGAGTCTGCGCAAAGAGGCCTTACCGCAAATGTGCTCCGCGTGCACTCCCAATTTAATTGAATTCGCACGATTTTGTTTTTTCCTTTTTTCGCGTACGGTGAAAAATATCAACGATGATATTAACATGCGCACAACATGCGTCGCAAATTATTATTTGCGACCCTTTAAGCAAATTGAGGGTGCTGCCTGTTTATTATTTACTGAGCAGAATGATAAAAGGTATGACCAAACGGTTAGTCGCGTTCAATTTCAGTGTTCCCCACCACGCGCACAAAGGATTATTATTTGGTGTCTTTCGGTAAAGTCACGTAGATAGAACAATAAAATAATTATTGTTCTATCTCCTGCAGTCACGGAAGCTTTAAGTCAAGTTTGAACAGGCTGTTGGTGCTGTCAGCGAGCACCTATGAAGGACCGGCACGGCCAGCATCACGCCCGACCACCCGTTTTGTCCTCGGTGACAAAAGTTTACACACCGCACCAGGTTCCCGTTTGAGGCCGAGTCGACCTCGGGCAGGCCCAGGACCGGTTCAAATAATCGTCGCTCGTGTTGACTCCCTGAGTGATTCCTGCTCGCGGCCAACACGAGGTTCTCGGTGCAGCCCGCTAACCGCTGTGCGTCCACGCGCGTGTACGCTCACGCACACGAGCGTGAGCGTGAGAGCATGTGTGCGTGTGAGCGTGTGTGCGTGTACGCAGCGCCGTGGACGCGACGAGGATTTAGCGCCGCGCCAACGCGCTTTGTTGCGAGTGCGTCTTCGTCTGAGTCATGAGGCGTCCCCCCCCCCCCGTCTGCGCCTGAGTCAGTGGCCTCAACTTGCCCCCTCCCCCGCAACCCCCCCCTACCTCCGCCCCCCCCCCCGCCTCCTCTGCCCCCCACCACCGCGTCACGGCCACCGACGCCTCCACAGATCAGGAGGCACTCGCCCGCGTCGTCTCTCTTTTGTTGGCGATGATCCACGTCCCTAAAGTCCGCCCCCCACCCGCCCGCAACGCAAAACGCGCGCCGCCACTCCCTCCACTCACTTTTGTCTCGGACCCTTCTGTGGGGGGGGGGGGGGGGGGGCTGCGAGCAAAAATAATGGCAGGGGGAGGGGGAGTTGGATGGTGGGAGGGAGTTGATGGAGGAGACATAGAACTGCCCCCCGCACTGCTGCTACCCCCTCAATCTTCCCTCTCATCCCTCCTGCATCTCCCTCCCTCCCTGCCTCCTCGCTCCCCTCCCGCCACCCCAATCAGGCCACTGCTGCTGCGTCTGTGCGCGTAACGAGCCCGAAAATTAAATTGGAGGCCCTGTTGGTGAAACACGCGGCTGTGTCCCCGCACCGGGGCGCAAGTCCGCACCGTGGCCCGCCGCAAGCAGCAGCGACAGCCGCTCGCGCCTTGCCGCGTTGGCGTTTTGCGGTTGGCGATGTTAAACATTGGCCGTACGGCTCTCCGATCGAACGGGGTGTACGCCCGCCTGTTGTTCGGCACGATGTTTGACGTTTCGACTCTGCGTTCTGAGAGCCATAGAAGCTGACCAGCCCATGGCGTGGAACGTCTGACTTGGTGCCAAACGCCGCGCGGAGCTCTTAGGGGAGCCGGGGCAGCACAACCTCGTTAACCTCGTTAACCTCGTTAACCTCGTTAACCCACGCCGTGGAATTGCTCGTGTTGAATTCTAACAAAGGAATCGCCAAGCAGGGCAGCCGCCCTTCTTGGGGCGTCCTCAGGTTACTCTTCCCGATCGTCGCTGTGGTTGTGCGCGTGTGCGGCACCGTAAATGAATTCCGCGCAACGACAAAAAATAAATGTAAGCCAATTTCGAACGGGAGCTAATGTTTCTCCATTAAGTGAAGAAAAAAAAAATTCGCCTATTTATCAGAGTGCATTGTGCAGCGCGAGTGTGGCCAGTCGCCTAATTGTTGGTGTTGATGTCAAAATCTAAATCACTTGCGGCCGATTATCTTGCCGCCGTCGCCTCCTGCACACAATGCCCTCCCTGGGGTGGTGGGCTCTGTCCATCCCCTCACCCCCCCAACACCCCCCCCCCTTTCTCCTCGGCACCCCCCCCAGCCCTTCCCTCCCATCACCACCACCACTCTCCCAATTCTCCAGGCACCCACCCCATGGGTACGATTTAGCGCGGTGGCGGTGGTGGTGGCAGCCTTGTCTGGCCAGGTGAGGGGTCTGGCCACTTGCCAGTGGGAGGGAGGGGGTGGGGGTGCCCCGGGAGAGAGACGTGAACGCGTGTGGACTTACATTGGATGGGAGTGGGTGGGTTGGAGGGGTGCAGTTGGGGGAATTTGGGTGGCGGCGGTGGTGGCGGTGGTGGCAGGGGGGTGGTGGTGGGCGTTGGGGACGCGGGGACAGATGGGCGAGAGACGCGTAGGGACGGCGTTCCTCCCGAGCATATGCGAAGGATCTCTCGCGCCGCGAGCAAAACCGTTGGACGCCGTGGACGCCCCACCGACTCCCAGGGTCCTTGTCGCTGGCTCCAACGACAATCCGTCTGCCCCACAAGCGCCGTTATCATCTTTGTCGTTGTCGTCCTCAGCGGCGGTGACCATGAGCAATCCACTGTTGGATGAAGGCCTCCCCATCAGCCATCTTTTGTGGTCCCGCAGCGTAGCTTGGCAGATTTGTAGACGCCGCACTGGTTTTCAGTTATCTCACGTTTTGTCCTTGCAATCGAGACGCTATGGATGTTACCGGCTTGGCAGGTGCTGGGTTCTCATCACAAAACAATGAACACGAAGCCAGAAGTCATGAGCATCTATTATACGCATCTTCCCATCTCCACCATCGTCCTCGCATAGAAATCCGTAGACCTACACAGCGACCCACGCACGTACATAGACTTACAGAGAGACCCATGCACCTACATAGATTTACAGAGAGACCCATGCACCTACATAGACTTACAAAGAGAACCATACACTTACGTAGACTTAGAGAGATCCATAGACTTTCGTAGACTTACAGAGAGATCCGTAGACTTAAGAGCTTCTTCTAAGCCCGGGGTCCCAATGCTGCATGGAGTCAGCTGGTCAGAATGTCTCCCTCCTTGAGCTTCTATTCTGCACCTCTTCTCCAGTCACACACCGACTTGCCCTCGCATGCTCGCTCCGCTGCATCCTCCCATCTCACCCCCCGGGTCTGTGACTCTTACTGCTGCCCCGTCCCAGTGGTGCCTCTTGCTCCTTCTCGTTTGCAACACTCCTTTGTCCCTTCTGAAACGCGCAATTTTGATCCGTGTCACATCTAAATACAAGCGCGTCTCAAGACGCCGTACAGAATAGTGTCGAAACGGTTTGACAAGCTCTCGTTGCGTGTGGTAACTTGTGGGGAGCGGTGGTGCAGTGGTTAGCGCACCGTTCAACGAAACGGGTGATCCGAGTTCGATTCTTGCTCACAGCCATACGTCAGTGATGTATATCTGAACCGGTCCTGGGCCTCCCCGGAGGTCAACTCGGCCCTAAAAGAAGAGGTACCTTGCACGGAGTGTGCGCGTGTAAACATCAGCATTGGGGAGACAACGACAGGGCGTGGTGCTGGCCATCCAATCCCCACGTCGGCAATAATCGGTGCTCGCTCGCAGAACTTGCCCTAACAGCCCGTTGGAGGCTATATGGGGGATCAATGTCTCTGTTATGTGCCCGTGGGTCGTTCTCTACACACATTCACTATGAGGTGGCTTAAGATCGCCAATTTCCGTTTTTAGAAGCCCCTAATTAGTCTCTCGGAAGACAGAGGTTGCCTTTCGACTGCACTGCAAATCTATCAACCGCTGACGGTCTCCGCTCCCATTATCTCTTCATCAACGGAAAACGTGTTTCGCAAAATTACTTTCAATGACTCAATTTTTTTTAATTCTGAAAATATTTTTAACACCACCAACCCACAAGGCCGACATTCTATGTTTACGCCATACTCGTAAACGGGGGGGGGGGGGCATTCGTGTCGGTATGCGGTATACAAAACGACGGCGACGATAATAAAACGGTGCACGGAAAATATCTCTGCGCACTATATAAATAAATTAAAATATAACATTTTCGAGCAATTACATGACCATCTTTGTGATGGAGCGATGAAATTGACACGTGTGCTGTTACTAACTACGTGGATGGTTAACATCACGGGGATTGTGAGATGGAGATGGCTTTGGGGAGAGAGATCCTTCATCCAGCAGCAGATAGGTCACGGCTGCTAATGATGACGATGAAATCCTATTTTTATTTCTCATGACGGCATTCACCCTGACACGTTACTCACGTGTGCTACTTAAACATTGTTACGATAATTTATTACGTCCCAAAAAAAATCCACATCTCAACCCCTTCTCCCCCTCCCTCACAAAAAACAATTGGGAGACATGTGGACACATCATGCGGTGTTGGCCTGGAGTGCGCGTGCGTCTCTGCGCGTGCGTGCGTGCGCGCGAGAGGTTGTCTGTGTGTCTGCGCGCGCGGGCGTGGGCTGATGGTGCTTGTCAGATTTATTGCTCGTTAAGATGCAGTCTGCCTCTGCGGCAGCTGGGATTGTCGGCTGAGGCTCGAAACCAGCAGCAATACAAGGTCAGGGAAAAGGAAGGACCCCCTTTGGTGAACACGTGGCCCATTTAACGGGACGCCAAAAGCCTTTTCGTTGCTTGTTTCTGACGATAAGCTTAAATAAAAGTTGACGTAGTTGATTGCTTTGGATTTTTTTTACAATACACTGGTCATTCGGTGGGGGGGGGGGGGGGAGAGGTTGGTTGGTGGGGGGGGTTGGCATTTGTTTATCGGTCGCAAACGCCGCTGTTGTTTTCGTGTGCAATTTAAATCGTAGCAAAGTGTGGCAACAACAAAAAAAGCCC